GCAGCCATCCCCTCTGCCTGTTGCGTTTTGAGTACGTCTCTGTGTCTCTCTCTCTCTCTCCCCATATGACCGTACTCATCCGTGTGTGTTAGGGGCTGCGTCTGATGTCTAACAACATGTGTACGAGCGTGTGGCGCTCCGCATTCCGTAACCCCCTCTGGGACAACCAGCAGCAGAATAGTTCCCTTGGCCAACTGCGTCTTTTGCCCGATGCCTTGGCGACGCTCGTGTGTCTCTGTCTCTTTTGCGATTGCTGTTTCTGTTTCTGTTTTTGATTTCGCAATCGTTTCTGACATACTCTATACATTGTCGGGTGTAACTTGGTTAGTTCAGGAAATATCACAAAATGAGTATTTTATATGCTTTATACAGACATATTTCCAATCTCTTCTAAATCATTAAGAGTAGTTTTTATGTACATAAATACATTTATGTAAGTACATTTAGCATCTGAAAGTTGCCAAATTATATTATATTTATTATTATAAAAATTTGAATCGGAAATTCCCAAGTATTTAAATGCTGTATACATAAATATATATTTTTGTAATATTTATGAATCGCGTGCATAGGAAAAAGAGCATTCAACCGATGCATTCCCCCACTAAAGATTTGTCATTTTTGCCAATCTTTTCGTATAGCTTTTTGTGGCATTTTCAGCGCATGTTTTGCCAAGCGCTGTCGAGGAGAGGTGGGTAGGAGAAACATGAATTAATTTAAAAATAAAACTATACAAAATTGTAATTAAATAACTAAAATAAAAATAAGCATGCACGCTGGCTAACAAAGACCATTGTGTACCGAAATAAAATTACAAGAGACAGCGCAGAGACACAGACAACGACATCGACATCCGAAAAAAATATATGTTCATGCAGATACACTCGAGTGTGCTGTCTGTGTAGCAGATATACAGCGGTGTCGATAGAGGAAAACTCGCGAGAAATGCAAAAGAAGCGAGTGCACAGAATTATTCAAATTGTCAATGCTGCTAAACAACACAGATCTTTGGGATCCTTATCTTTTAAAAAATAGCCAAACTTTTGGCTTTCTTCAACAATCCGAATTGTATTTTCAATGTCATATTTTATGGTTTGCTAATCTGGCCGTCAAGCTAAGCCCCACTGGCCAATCAGTCGGACAGTTGGTGAGCCAATCAGTCAGTCAGTCAGTAGGTGGGTCAGTCAGTCAATCAGTCATCACATTGCTCAGCCAAAAAACCAAACTAATCGCCATCGCCCCTCCTTAAGTCCCCAAGCATCCCCTCAAGTAGCCAATCGACATCGACGCTCTTGTATCTCATGCTTTTTTGATTGTGTTCTTGCATCTCCTACATGCATGCCTGTATCTGTATCTGTGCAAGTGTGCATGTTTTTGAGCTCTTTATTTCACTAATTTGTATGCGCACATTTTTATGCATAAATTTGTTTTTGATTTTCGGTTGATCTTTTGCCTTTTGTTTTTGTTTGTATGTCACCAAAAGAAAAGAGAAAACGCAACAACCAATTCGAATATGTTCTATCATACCAAAACTTTTTTCAGATTTTTGATTTTATATCCCCATCATCACCACCACCACTACCACCACAACTACAACAACAACTACAACAAGTACAAGCACCATCATCAACAACCAGAACAACAAGCAAATCATCAACGGCGTCAGTTGCGACGATGGCTGCCATAAATACGGTAAGTACGTGACTACCCACATCACAGAAAAAAGTACACAAAGTACATGAACGTCAGGACGGAAAACTACAAAGAAGAGTAATGGAGGGGAAAACTTGTTACAGAGGCCGAAGCCAGTTATACCCTTGCAGATCGATAGTTCTTGTGATCTTTCAATTAGCTATGATAAACCTATAAAATTCACAGCTGTTCGCTTCCGGTTGGAATAATTAATATTTGCGCGACACCAAGAGAAACGTCAATTAATTGTGTGCAATCAATCAAATAGCAAATTAATTTATGGCACATGCCACGTTTTATCTGACAATCCAAAGAGTTTATTTTACTTGTGTACAATTGAATGTTGACTCAAGTGAGCGATTAAATATGCAGTGTACCCGTGTACAAAGTTACTTTTGAAAAATTACTATTCCTTTCCTTATAGTGTTTTTATTACTATGTGAAGGATTTTGAGTTCTTATTTTAATTCCAATAAAGGCAATTGAAGTTGATTAATTTTAGGTCAACAATTCAATTGAAGAATGTTCCTCGTCCTCCTTCGACCCTTGAATATATGTTTATTAATTAAATTTGCTGTACCAGTTGGTATTTTAGCATTTTATTTCCATAAATTTCCCTGAAAATGCTGCTCCCTTCCTCTCCATAAATATTTATGCAATCATTTTGCCTTTTTATTTTAGTTGGCAGCTTCCCTTGTGCATACATCATCTTCCAAATGCTGAACAAATTCTTCAGATACCCCGATACCGAAACAATATTTTAATAAAAATACTACTAGCGTTGAGCTTAGGTTTGGTTTCAGCCATTCTCTTTAGGTAACATAACCATCGACCATCAGCCCATAAATATTTAACCAATAATTGAATTCAGTGCGAAACCATTTCGATACGTATACATCATTTTGCTGGTGTAGTAAAATACTTCAAAAAGCATCTAATGAAATATCAGGCATACGATGTGTTGAATGGCAGCTAATACCATTCAAGCAGCACCGCAAGCTCAATCATAAACAACATTTTAAATTAAAACAGAGAGATTTCTTGCACGATGACCGATTTACCAGATGATGAATCTGTTGTTTATGACGACGCCGAAGGCGCTCTGCTCTGTCAGCCCTTGTGTATGCCCGTGTTTAGCTTCCCGAACATGTGTTTCAGCTCATTTTACTAATAAGCAGGCGGCACAAGCAACAAACACAAGAGATGGGGCAGCAGGAAAAATGAAAACCCGATGACAAATTACCACCTAGCGTATTCAATTTTCCACTGACATCAGCTCAAAATTTTCATTAATATAAATATGTATCTGGGAGTTTGGCCCAAGACCTTGCCAAATTCAAATCAGTCCAATGTCCACCTCCGCGTCCACATGCACACCAACATCCCACAATCATGTCCATGTTCTGGCACCCATCAGAATCAGACCCGACGGAGTCTGGCAGTGGAGGAAATATGATTTTGGCAACGTTAAAGTTCTCATGGGGAGCCGGTTCGTCCTCTTCGTTTTCCTTCAGTCTTCGATGTGCTTTTTTTTGACGCCAACATCAACGCGTCGGCTTTTGGTTGTTTTTTGGAGTGACATTGACATTTGATTGACACGTGAATCACGCCGTATAAATATACAAACACCTAAGAGTTCAGGTATACTCCGGAGTATGGGCAATTGGTTTGGGCCATGTCGTAACAGGATATGGCGTCCCACAACCCGCTCACTCTTCACTCTCAGACATGACAGCCGCTGCCCTTGCCGTGCCCGTGGCCTGCGAGACGATGGGACATTCTATCACTTGGCATACATACATAAATCATCCGTATTGTGAAAGAGAGCAACATCATATAATTGCTTGATGCCTGAATTGATTTAGAGTGAATTTAATTGCTTGGATTACAGCCCATACAATTTTGGAACAACTTCTTTGGAAATTACCAAGACTTTTCCAAGTATTTCGGTACTCATTTAAACAGCTTTCAACAAGGTTATCACAACACTTGTTTCACATTAATCTAATTTACTTCTACGCATAGCACTTATTCGATTCAGCCATATATATTTCATGGCTCATTGCTGGCACATTTAAATAAACATTTGCAGCTCGAAAGAACTTTTATAGAGATCAGATGCGAACACAGGGATGATTTCACGGTGTGCCACTTGTGGCTCCATTTCTACTTTCAGTCCAGTTCATTGAGAAGAGAACTTACTCATTAAGCTGGATGTATTTTTATCCACCCAGAACTTAAACAATAATAAAACTCTTGTTTATTTATTCTACGAGAAATTTTATTTGGCCGAAACTAATTTATGCGAATGTCTTCGTTTTCGTGTTTGCATCTCTGCCTCTCTTTTGTACGAGGTTCTCCTAAGCAGCAAGGGTATACGTGTATTGTATATTGTATAAATATTCTGTTGAATTATAATTGTTTTACTTTCTACAGGATATCAGAAAGTCCTAATACAAATGATGCCGTTCCTCGCTTCGTTTTCGCCTTGTTTTCATTGTGGTCAGCGTCGCGGGCACTTTTGGAAATTTATGCGCTGTTATTTTATTTATTTGCGTTTTGTTTTGTGGTTACGGGCAATTGCAGGCCACTTTAATTGGGCATCGGTTGCGGTTTATAAAGCATTAATTGCCCAATCTAGTAGCAGAGCCCACCCAAAAGACCACCCAAAAGCCCACCCCTCTGCACAGTGCACTCGCGCGGGGCAGCAGAGGGAACGAGAGTGCATATTAATGGATGCAATTTTATTGCATTTAAATTAATATACATTGAGGTTCTGCCAAGAGTAGCAAGAACATGAACAACTAAAAGCACACAAAAATACAATTGTTCTGCAAGTGCCAAGTGCGGATTTGTCTGTGGATGACGAGGTCCCACAGCGGCACGGCAATGGTCACACGGCGAATACTTAACTTCCGTGATTACTGGCAGTTCGTACCGGGGTGTGGTTGTGGATGCGGGTGCGGGTGTGGTACAGGCAGTTGTTGGACTTAAAGTGAAATGCATTTAAATTCAATTAATTATGCGACACGCCGTCCATTAGGCGACAGTTGCTGAGAATTATCAATAATCTCGACTAATCTCTCCTGACAGCCATCGCTTTTGCCGCCGCTGCTGCTGTCGCGCCTTTTGGCAGCAATTTCGAGTGTGCATATGTATGTTCATGTCTCTATTGTGGCCCCCTTCCACTCCCTAACAGACACACACACACACTTGATAAATATGTAGTTTGTGTAGCATATAGCACGATATAGAGAGGATACATTTTCAACCATTGAGATGCTGTTCTGCCTTTGACTTGCCCCACAGGTACCAAAGAGCATACACCTGCCATTGACAAGTCTCAGCAGCGCGCCTCGCGTGTTGATGTGCAGCGCCTCTGTGGGCTCTGAGGGATCCGTAACATTGCAACTGAGAGATGCCAGCGCCTTGGAGGCAGCATCAGCTTCAGCATCAGCAGCAGCAGCAGCAGCAAGTACGAAATCTGCCACATCAGCAGGGGGGAATGGCGTTACAACGCTTGCCACGTCCTCAACGTCGGCACTAGAGAATGCTTTGACGATCGGGTATCCGGATCCGGAAATGCTGGCAGATGTCTTGGGCAGCATACAGACAGCCTGTGAGTAAGCTACACAATTTATTTCCGATAGATGTACTGACGTAGATTTATGCTTTATTTTCTAATAGCTCTGAAGAACAACCACACAATCACAGCCACAACTTTAAGCAATAGCTCAACGAAATCGGCTAATGGCAATCATCTGAATAATCCCAACAAAATAACCATTACTAGGCGTAGTGTGCAGTCCGTCAGCACATCCACGAACACAACCACAATCGGTGGCAGCCAGAGCCAGAGCCACAGCCACAGCCACAGCAAGACAAATACCAGCTACATTAAGAACTGTTTGATTCGCAGCAGCAGCTGCAGCAACACGGTCACCAATGTCACGACGCTGGCGCAGATTATGAGCAACAGCAGCACCAGCAGCGCTTCCAGTCTCCTCAATCAGCACAACAACAACAGCAACTGCAGCAACAGCAGCAACTTCAGCACCGCCTCCTCCGTGGGCAGTAGCATCAGCATCGGCAGCAACAGCAGCAGCAGCAACAGCAACAGTAACGATAGCAACAGCAGCACCGGCGGAGGGCATAGCCTATCCTTTAAGAGCAACGGTAGACATGTTCCTGGACACAGTGGGGCAGTGGGTGGTGCAAGCACAGTAGCCACAAGCACTAATACCCCTGGCATTGGTGGCATCATCAGCATCGAAGCACCGCGCAAGAATCGCCCCAAATTATCCTCTCCAACGCGACACGGACCACAGCAGTGTCAGGTGTGTATGGGTGTGTGAAACCTCCCCAAATAATTTTGGTTTCGATGCGGCCTAATCGCTAATTTATCGCCGGTCACTTTGAGCCATGCCAACATGTCAGGACAGCCAGACAGCAAGTGCTATACCGTGCCATATCGCGCCGTGGCATATTTATAAACAGACATTAAGGTCGTCTCGGCCGAGTGGCAGGTGAAACGCACACAAAGCGCTCTCAAAAGTGCTCGCTCTCTTTCTTTGCCGCCCCAGCATCAGCACTCGTATTCCTAGTCGTAAAAGTCGGCGGCATATCCACTTGGAAGTACAATTATGTATATGGCCATAGTCGGTCGTGTTTATACGCAGCGCTAATTGAGCGTAGAGCCCGTCTGGTTGCGGGAGCTGCATGTGGCGTTTGTGCCATATGTTTATTGAATGGACTTTTAAAGTATTTCTCTAGCAACCCTCTGATCACGATTTCAACACGTTCTGCTGCAGTCTGGAAGGACCAGCCCAGACCCTTTTTCTATGCTGTCACTTGTTTTAATTTGAACTTTTCGCCTACAACCACTTAAGGCCTCTAGTAAGGAAGAGCTCTCTAGCACCCCTCGCATGACTATTTAAACACGTTTCGAAGTCTGTCAATAAAACTGACAGACGCTCAACGTGCTGCAATTTAAAGTCGTCTTTTACTCTTCTTTTTGACCGTCTGTTCGCTGAGAAGTACGAGTATGAAGTCAATTTTATGACGCGTTTTACGACACTGCAGAGAAAATGTTTGGGTCGGCAGCAGGAAGTGGAAGCAGCCTGAAATTTCACTGCTGCTGCACATTCCGCTGATGTACCAAAAGTTATCGTACATCCCTCTATAGTTTAGAGTATCGTGTGGCTGGGCTTTTGGTTAGCTTTCGGTATTTCGGCGGGGAGGTAATTAGGGTGGGTATGTTGTGGCAGCCGCAGAAACATAACGTATACGCAATGTGGCTCATTAAAATGTTCAAACAGCGTCAGTGGCAGGCGGGCTGGCGGTCTGCGATGGCCACCGCAACAATTTCAATTACCTAGAGATGGAGGAGAGAGAGAGAGAGAGAGGAGGAGGACAGAGAGAGAGAGGCCTTCAGGCAAATGCTAATTACATTTCACTTGGCTCTTGTGGAACTTTTTATAGATTTGTTGCAAGATCTTTGGAAATGCCTCGGCGCTGGCCAAGCACAAACTGACGCACAGCGACGAACGGAAATATATTTGTGTGCTCTGCTCGAAGGCATTCAAGCGGCAAGATCACTTGTAAGTAAATGACGCTGATCCATTGATCCATTGATCCATTGAGCCACTAACCCATCTACCATAATCCCCACAGAAACGGACACATGATGACTCATCGGAACAAGAAGCCTTACGAATGTAAGGCGGATGGCTGCGGCAAGTCCTACTGCGATGCCCGCTCCCTGCGCAGGCACTCGGAGAACCATCATGCGGGTGCAGTCACTCCCAGCACCAGTCAATCGCTCTCTCCCACAGCAAGCTCGAGCGGGGCGAGCAACAGCAGTGGCGTCGGAGTGGCCACCAGTTCGCTGAGTCTCTCGCCGGCAACGGCCAGCGGGGACGCGAGCTCGCCGGATGGTGCCACGTGCATTCGAACGTACATTTCCACGGGCAGTTCTTTGGTGGATGCCGCCACGGGAATCGCTCTGTCGGATGAACAAATCAAGGCCATGAACTTGCCCATCAAGACGGGCATGACGCTGCTGTCACCCACCACCTCCACATCCTCGAATGCTTCCTCCACGGCCTCGTCGTCGTCACAGTCCTCTTCCCCGTCGACCATCGCTTCTTCGGTGGCCAGTGGCACCGTGATAGCCAGCTCACCCACCATTACGCTCAGCGATGGCGTCAGTCTCGAGGGCGAGGGCCTGACCCGCGAGCAGCTCGATCTCATCAGCAAGATCATGCAACAGACAAAGCAGACGAGTGCCCAGGTTACCGTTTCCTCGCCCACCAGCGTCAGCTCCTACAAAATCAACACAAACTCGGCGCCGTCATCGTCCAGGCCCCGTACCTGGAACATGCAATTGGTGGGTTGACATCTACTACAACCCATCAGTCTTCCAGCATTGCTGACAGCCTCCACTTCATTTATTTACAGCTAAACAGCGCCCAGAATGTGACCCTTCATGTGGAAGATGGCACCGATCTGGTTGCTTCTTCATCGAACTCCCCCGTTGAGATCAAAGAGGAAGACATGGGCCAGCAGCAACTTGTGGCCACCGCCAATCCGCACCTGCTCGTGAAGCTCGACAAGCCAGTCGAGTGCAATCTCTGTCACCGTAAGTTCAAAAACATACCCGCCCTCAATGGGCACATGCGCCTGCACGGCGGCTACTTCAAGAAGGATCCAGAAACGAAGCGCAGCGAGAAGAAGGACTCCAGTGGTCCACCCCTGCAGACGGCCAGCATTGGAGTGCGTGCCCTCATCGAGGAGAAGATCATCAGCAAGCGCAAGGACATGAACAAGGTGGGCTCATCATCAAGCGAAATAATATCGATCCATCCAACATTAAATTAGCATCTCCTCTTCCCGCAGGGCGCCTTTGTGGTACCCGCACCACCGCACAGCAGTAGCAGCAGCAGCACCACCACCACCCTTCGACGATCGATCAGTGACCTCGAGAGCTTCCTCAATCCGAAGAGCAGCTCCAGTGCATTCACCCAAACGCTCTCCACCAGCACGGCCACCACCACAGCAGTGCTGCCGGCAGCCACAACAATCAAGAGCAGCAACGGCCTCAGCATACAGCAGATAGGACTGCCCCAGAGCATCGAGATCTTCAGTGGCGGCCAAAAGCAGTCGAAGACCCTCAGCCTGGGCAGTGGTACCAATACGATCACAATCACCACCAACAATGTGCCCACAACCACGACGATGAGTGCGCTGACCGCTCTGAAGGCAGGCGGAACCATTAGCGGCATATCCGCTGCCACCAACACGGATCCCAAGGACTCCACCCTGATCGAGCTGCTGAAGCGGGGCACACGCATTGCGGTCACCTCCAAGAAGGCCCAATCCCATTCAACCCAAAGCGGCACGAATGTGCTGATGACGAGTAGCCAAAATGGCGCAGGATCGGGACTTGGAGCCGTCGCAGAGCTCACAACCATCGGGGGAAGTAATATTCAGACGGTCGGGCGGCAGATCATCACCAACAACAATCGCACCGTGATTATACCCTCCGATGTCCAGGTGGTGGCCACCAAGAGCAAGCTGAGCAGCCTGTCCAGCCTCACGGGAAGCCTGATTAAGACTAGCAGCAGCGTGAACACATCCTGTTCGTCTGGGAGCATCTCCTTGCCCGATGACACACCCCTCTCGCTGAACATCGCCCCCAGTCAGGAGGGGCAAGTCGGCGGTGCGACCGGGGGAGTGATCACGAGCGGGGGAGGCGGAGTGTACACCGTTACCTATACCAGCGATGGCACCGATCTGTTCGACGATGCAGAGGTATACAACGTGTCTGACACTGAGATGCTGCTTCAGACAGTGGACTCCATGGAGCTGCTGAACGACGAAGAGGACGTGGCGCAGATCAAGAGCGAACATTCCGAGGACTTTGCCCTGCTCAGCGATGCCGGCGATAGTGTGCACACACAGCTGGTCAAGCTAGAGCCGGACACTGGCAACGCCAATGGCTCCAGCAGCACCACCACCACAAATACCAACACCACACCGCTGCCCACCTTCCAGCAATTCCATTCCAAGGAGCTCATCATGCAGAACAGCTCCCAGATTCAGGCAATAGCCAGCATGCGAGGCAGCATCCTCCCCTCTCCACTCCACTCGCCGCTGGCCTATCCGACGCCACCCTCCAGTCACGAGAACATGGCCCAGTCGTCGCCTTTCATTGAGGATGCGGCCGCCCAGTTTGTGGACGCCAGCAACACCTTCTTCGGCGACAAGACGGACTTCTCGCACATCTACTTCAAGACCGACGATGGCCAGCCCATCGAACAGCTAAACGAGAACGATACCGAGAAGATCCTGAAGCTGAAGTCGGTGCTGGAGGAGAGCAGCTTCGATCCCTCCATCAAGGTGGAAGACTTGCTGAATGGAACGGAAGATGACACCGAGTGCGATCTGCGGGAGTTTGCCGAGACAAATCTGTCGTTCCTGGACGAGGACCAGGAGTTCCTCAACGATTCACGCAATGCCACCTCCCCGTTGTCGGAATCATTCTTCACCAGCGGCATTGGTTCAGCGGAGGATGTAAAGCAGGTTCTGCGCGAAGTGCTCCCTGACGAGAACATGCAGCTGCAGCTGACCAGCGCTGAGCAGGGCGAGAACATCATTGATCTCTACTATTTGCCGGGCCTGGGACTGCAGTCCCAGATGATGAACAACTCGGAGGACCCGATGCTCTCCTCCTCGCCACGCGAATTTGGACTGCAGCGTCAGATGGGACAGATCCAGGCCACAACAATGCCACAGCCGATGGAGCCGCAGCTTCAAACCACGGCCATCTATCAGCAACAAGAGTCACAAATGCAACAGCAGTCACAGCAACAGATACAGCAACAGCAACAGCCGCAACAGATTCTGGTCCCCCAACAATCTCTGGGCCAAGGGGTGTCCATGCAGACTCAGGCAGGCCAGCAGCAGACAGAATTTATGCTGCCACTGGTGGGTGGTCATGGCTTTGCGGCGGTTAGCAGCCAGACCCAGTACCTGGATACCAGTCAGAGCACCATGACACTGCAGCCTCTCAACAGCCTGCTACAGCCCCTGCTTTATGGAGGTGGCTCAAATGGCACACCCACCACAGGCACTGCGTCAGTACTCACCACCGATTGCCAGATGAATCCCAATCAAGGTCAGACCAACGCTCTCGATGCCAGCCTGATTTTTTCCTGCAGCGCCACAGCCACTAATGGCAATGGAAAGTCCCTGCTGGCCACCCTGCCCACAGCGGTGCCCACCTCAGTGGTGATAGCCACCCCGCCCAGCGTATCCAATCTGCAGCCGTTGTCGAATCAAACCAATTCCATACTGAAGCGTCGTTTGCGCTCGAGTGCTCCCCAGGAGACGCAGAAGTTCTCCAAGTTCCACACCCTGTCGCCACACCGCTCCAAGCTGCGAAAGCCCTCGCGCACACACTATACGCCGGCCCCCATCCTGAATCCGGACCGCAAGGGAACAGGTCTGTATTGTATTGTGCGTAAGCAGCAGGGCCAGGGCATATTCGATGCCTTCGAGGATGACTTTGGCGATCCGGTGGGCCTGGTAGATTTCTCTGACGAGTCAAAGGTTAACCTCGGCTCGGCGTATCAGGCACAGATACCCTGCTGCAAGCCTTTCGAGGAGGCCAGCAATGATCCCATGGGTGCGGAGATGATGTGGAACCCCGAGGTGCAGGAGGACGATAAAATCCTGATGCGTTACATAGATCTCAGCAAATCATCGGCCGTGCCAATGGGCAGTCATTCCGAGGAGGTGGCTCTCCACACGCTGCTCAAGTCCCAGGGCAATTCGGCGGCGGCGGTGCTGACCCTCCTCCAGACGCAATCCAGTGCATTTCAAATGAAGTGGACCGCCATCGAGCTGGAGCAGTTCCTGCGTGGTCTGGAGAAGCATGGCAAGGACTTTGGCAAGATTGCCTGCGAGGTAAGTGCGGGGAAACCAAAACCAAACCTTTTCAAATGGCAAACTTTGTTAAAATTGTTTCCGACTCCCATTGTGCAGCTTCGCACAAAGTCCTCGGGGGAGTGTGTGCAAATGTATTATTTCTGGAAGAAGCTCTGCGTGGACTATAAGGTATCGCATTTGAAGATGGAGCCAGTGACCCACATCGTACCCCCCGTGGAGAAGCCCTATGTTTGCGAGATTGCAGACTGTTCAGCGGTAAGTTGTATGTCTTGAATGCTGCAGCATGTCGCCAGCTCTAGCACACCCCTCTTGAGACCTTACCTAGCCAAACGACAATAAACGACACACACACATTAAACCCACCTCACCTCGCCTCACCTCACCGGCTCTTTCTGTTTACTTTCTTTTCTGTATATAATGCTCTGTACAAATCAAACCAACCCCGCCTGCCCGTCCAAATGTAGAGCTTCAGTTCAAAGGCGGCGCTGCACGGCCATGTTCGCATACACGCTTTTGGCCGTAATGCCAGCAGCAACAACAACAGCAACAGCAGCAACAACAACAACAGCAGCAACAACAGCAACAGTACGCAGCATGCCATGGCAAATAACGCCGCAAGCGGCAATCAACAAAGTTCCAACAGCTACGCATGCGCACCGCTGACAAACAACAGCAGCAATAATCCATTATGCAATGCAACATCAGCAACAACAAGTGCAACGAATCATAGTGGCAATAATGGCACTATTAATGGCAATGGCAACCTAAACACAACGACAAACACGTCCTCATCGACAACTTCCAAAGTGGAAACGGGCAACACGAACGTCACTGCCCCGCCAGCCGTCAAGGAGGGGGAATTCCCCTGCAAGGTGTGCGGCAAGTAAGATTCCCCCAAAGAAATTTCTACCAAAACTCGTATAACCAAACAAAACAAAATCAAGTGAAAAATCAATCCTAAAAAAAACGGAGAAATCCGCAAGCGATTTGAGTGCCCGTATTGACTTGTGTTGAGATCGTAAAGCACGCTATATCGTAAATTATTTACCATACCAGCTCGACTATTCGTAAACGTAAACGAGATCTTGAGTTATTAATTACATAGATCATGAGTTGACTGAACTTTCTCTTATTGTTTCGAAGGATTTTCGTCTTTTTATTTCAATTGTGTTCATCAATTGTTCGTTTTATCTTGCTATATCTGTCACTCACTCTTCTAAATATATCTCTCTGTCTCTGTATCTCTCTCTGTGATTACGTACGAGTATAGTTTTTGGCCTTGAGTTTGTAGACATTATGAAGCCTTGAGTTCCATTCTATCGTATCGTATGTCAGTTTCCGACTTCTCTGCCATTTAGTTAGAGTTTATATCAAGCGATTAATTAATTGTTGTTATTGTTGTTGTATTGTATTGTTCCATGATCAAACAAATTCAAATTACGAATACAATCAATAAATCGAAATTGCAATTTTAAAGCGAGGAGTCACAGCTCGCAAATAGATGTAACCGGAACTGATATCAGATCCACAAGTTCACACAAACAGCGCGACTAAAGACGCCAAGCAGGCGCTGGCAAATCGCCCGGTAAGTAAGCAATTTTCATTCTTTCGTTTCCACCTTTCTTTCCATTACGTTTCATTTCGGTAACTCCATCTTCCGTTCTCACACTCCATTCGACTCGATCTCTGTTCTCTGATTTGATGTATAATTGTTTCGATATACAATACTTACATACATTGCAACTCGTACCTAAGAGCAGCGCTAAATGCCTCTTGCATTTGATTACTTTTGTAAATATAACTACTAATTAATAAATCACGGGGCTGTACTGGGACTGGGGCCACCTCTAAGCAATTGCTATATTTCCTATGTAAATTGTACTTTACCGCTCGCCTAGGACGTGATCTGATCATTGTACACACCTATGGTATGTTCCCACTGTAACTGTCTACGAATTGGTTTATCTCGATATTTTGGTCAAATTTTTCATTGAGATCACCACCTGAGGGAGCGGCTGTCCAGTGTACCTCTGCTATCATCATTCAAGCGCACACCAAACTCTCAACTCTCAATCTCAACTCTTCCGTTTTCCTTCGAATATATAAATGTACTTATTAAATAATTTTATTTGTTTCGGTTTCGTTCCCATAAACAATAAACATGAACTCTCTATTTTCCATGGTTATTAATAACAACAAAGCAAATTTTAACTCCACACAAGGCTAAGTAAGAGGAAGTGACAGAAGAATATCTTCATATCTCCGCATGTTGCTCCCTATCTACCTAAGCATGCATCTACTATACTTGTTTTACGATAATCGCTGCCTTTACTCTATGTGCTTCATTTTATCTAAATGTCCAAAATATCCACTTAGTGTGCATTCTAGCTGGAAGTGATCGTAACTGCTTCTCTAAATACGCATATTCTCATGGCTCACACGTTCTTTTTGCTCTCTCTCCCTTTGTCAGAGTATTCAATAAGGTGAAGAGTCGCAGTGCTCACATGAAGACGCATCGGGTTCAGGAATCGGATCAGTCTCCCAAAAACCAACATCATCAACAGCAACAACAACTGCAGCTGCAACAAAAGCAGCAACTAAGCAATCTAACAAATATTATCACAGGATCAGTCACCGGGACAGGCACTGGGACAGGAACAGCATCAGGATTAGCATCAACAGCCGCCTCATCAGCGATCACAACGTCGTCTTAGAGACCGATAGGGAAAGATATATGGATGCAAAATACTTCCAAAAATAATGATTAAACAAATGAAAAATCGATTGACAATCGCATTAAGCAAGCCGCGTTAGAATTTACTCTTAGACGAATTTGAGTCTAAAAATCAATGTCATCTGTACGTAGTAGTTAAAGGCATTTCTCCATTCAAATCGCTCCTTCAGTCTATCTCTAACTACGCATCTCTAAGTCTAGTGTAGAATCTATCTATCTATCCAATGAAATCACCCTATCTTTCACTCTATATCTATCTATCTATCTATCTATCTATCATCTAAGTAGGAAACACTTTGACTTACTCTAGGGAATAAGTCTAGCCAATGATTGGTACAAGTTCAAATTGAATTGTTATTAACTATTGTAGGCAAGTGCAATATTTATGTTGAGATATGTAATTCTAATATACCCCCTACCGTATTTTTATATCGTAGTAGGCGTTTATTCTGCTCGACTCGACTGTAGGTGTAACTCTATAACTTTAAACACAGAAAAAAACAGAACTATGGCTAAAGCTAAAGCTCAATCCAAATCTATGATAAACACTAGCGCATAATTACTGTTAACTACAAGTTTTTTCTACTCCAAATACTCGTACATAGTTGCAACACACTACACTGATACTTTACTAGAGCGATAAAAGTGTAGACACTAAGAGAATCTCTATATATATGTACATGTGTACATACGAGTATGTATGTACATGTATATGAATATATGCCCTAGACTTACGATATATGCGATATATGATTGTTGTTCTAGTTTTAACGACGCAAGTCAGCAACTCCAAGTAGTTGAAATTTTACTTAGATCGTACTTACATACATACAATACATACTACCTACAAAAACCTAAAAACAAAAACAAAAACCCAGAACTATTGTACTTAAACTATGGCTTAAAAACCGACAAAAACAAAAATCCATACGAAAATCTAGTGAAATCAAGTGATATTGAGTGAGATCAAAAACGATTTTAGCTAAAAACGAAAAAGATTAACAAAATTTAACACTTACACATACACATACACAAACACACTTACAGATGCAGATACAAGAGACACAAATCTAATGCAATGAAATCGATATTATGGAAAATTTTAAATTTAATTTTAACGCAATGTTTTAGGCTGTAAGGCAATGTACATAAGATAACCGTAAGGATACCCCTTAAGGACAGATAACTTTCAAATCTCTCCAAAACGCATAAAAGACATTAAACTATTGATATTTCTAGATTTATCCCTCCCCAATCCAAAACTCCCACCACCCCAGCCACATCACCTTCCCCCCTCTCACACACAGACACACACAGATCAGTGACTGAGAGGCAGTGAGGGTTCCATCCCCACTCAAACTCAACCCACAGATCCGAATCCTCATCCAAAATGCTCAGCACCCAGGAAGCACACACAGAGAGACAGTACAGTACAGTTTTATATAGACATAGGTTATACATACATAGTAATTATATACATACATATAATTATATTCAATTAAATGGTACAACAGTAAATCTGCCAGTAATTTGAAGCAACAACAACAAGAATCACACGTTTTCCATTTGGACAGTGAGCTAATGTACTACAACAAATTGATCAATTGATTCAAACGTTTTTGAGGCCAGTGCCGTGCCGGGTGGCGTATATTAATCTAGTTTAATGTAAACCAATGCATGCAAAGCTAAAAACCAAATACCAAATTAAATATTCGTATTTAGTCTAATATCTTCAGACCCGACCCTATCCCCGTACACCTACACCGTTACACAGATCCCGACAGAGACAGAGCCAGAGATGCGAATGAGAATGAGGAAAATTAATGAGAAACTATTAGCAATTTTTACGGTTGTACTTTTCCAGTTGTGTGCGTAAGGTTTACTTATCGCACTGTATACAAAACCACTCTATATATGATGTTGTAAATATCACAGACAGAATTCAGACCTGACACCAACTTACACCAACTATGTATGACCATCCGTCGCGTTGGTTGTCTTTGACATGTGTTCGCTTCCTCCCTCTGACTTAGCATACTTAGTAACCATAACCATAGATTTAGTTAACGGATGACATAATTCTTGGATATTTTTCGGTGTTATATACAATAAGTGTAAGCGTATAAACATAGATACGAGTACAGCTACAGCAACCCACCATAAAGCACCTTCAAGAACTGTTTGTTGTGGGCTCTTCGAAGCCGTTCAAAGACTTTCTCACGTACAATAATCTGTTTGTATCAACCATATTGTTCATCCTTTGTTCTGTGTATTATCTCCGCTATTTTCCAATTCCGTTTCCTTTTTAACTCTTCTGTTCTATTCTGTTCCGTTAAGTTCTGTTTTATGCTAAAATGCCTTCAAGCGTAAGTCTTAAGTATTATAAAATAAAGTATGTAACAACAAAATGAATGTTTATCCTTAAGTAAGTGTTGAAATCTAGGCGTATATATAATTAGCTTAAGTTGGAATGTGTGTGCACTTTGTTGCTTTTCAAAAAAGTTTCCTAAAGACAAACAGACGATAAACGTGAATATATTTGTATTGGTTCTACCGTCTACATCTAGTCAACTGCAGTAGGTTATTTACCAAAATTAATTTATATTTTATTTTAAGCATTGTTAACTGTGCAAAATGTTTATCGTTTACCAATTAAATGATTTCAACTGTTTCATTTTTCATACGATTGTTTTTTTTTTGCATTTTTATATTATTTTCTTATACGAGTAACATAAAACGAGAAAGACAATCTGTGACAAGGATCGTGTGCTATTTTTCCCCTTGTTCTCTAAAGCTTATTTCAAGAAATAACTCAGCTACAGCGACGCACCGCTCTGCTCACTCACTTAATTCGAATACTCTGCGTTGTGATTGTTCATTAAGCGAATGTAAATCGTATTTACGCAATACTTATATATACGTATGATTATACGATATTATAATCTGTATATAAATAACCCTAATCAACGATTCCACATACCAATCAAAGGTCATGCTCATACCCAGACATGCCACGCGCATCTAGCTGGATGGGTAGCCGACTTCTTTTTAGCTCAAAACTCAAGTTCAAGTGATCAAAAATACGAAATTTGATTCTAACTCAAAGCCATTAAATAGTTCAATGTGCAGCTCATCAATAATTTTGCCATTCAAGATAAGTACTGCATGCATAAATGTGTATTTTGTACAACTTACAGATACCATACTGAATAAAGCTACCATAAATGTATGTATGTAGTCATACCTGAAAAACAAGGGGAGAAACAAAAAATATAACGCGTAAAATGCAACTGAATTACTTCGAATACAATACAAAAATCTTTTGAAATTGAAAACGATTGATAATAGCTATTAGACATATCAATTTTATTTAAAGCGAATCGACTAAACATTCAATATAATATATATATACACACCTGTGCGTATATGTACTACATAGTTGGTACACGTGTATGTATCTGTGCAAGTTTGCATTCCTGTTTAGTCAGTAAGTGGACATTTTAAGCAACATCGGAAAGTGCAAGTGCATAATGATGTGATCTACGAGTATACACATGGTAAAGTAGTAATTAGGGGATCTTCTGTTAGGCACAACTTTCACTATATCTACGCTTCACATGCGACATCTCAGAGTATTTAGACTGACGAGTAATAAAAGAATACGAAAATGTGAGATCTCAGCATTGGATGAATTCTTCAGCCTGTTCATTCTTGTGCCAAACAAAGTATCGATCATGATCTATACCTACTATATGTATATTGCATATGTGACGCATTGCGAGACAAACTTTACCGCTCAGTATTATCGAGATTCTCGCCCGGACTGGGAGTCCTTATCCTCGATTTGTGCGGCTCTCGGTCTCGGTCGGGCAGATCGGCCCTGCTATTATTAAGTACCATATATACAAAAACTACACAAATCTACTATGTAAGTTTTAACTGTAATAAATATGCAATGATACACTTTTATAAAGAACACACAAACTGTTACTTTATGGCATTTAGCTGAGATGCTGTAACCTCTTGTTGAACGTAATTTGTACAATACGTACTACGTAGCATGTAAATCTATTTAGCTCGCAACATGCCGACACAGACACAGATACAGACTCAGATATACCCACACATAAAGAATATATCTGTATGTATTTATACAGTGCTAATATTAATGTGTATCTGACATACATACATATGTAAATACATAAGAGTAAATGTAAACTTAAATGTTTTCGTGGTTGTAAACTGATGATCAAAATAGATTTAAACGATTTTACATGCTTTCATTTGAACGCGGCGATACTTTAACTTTGCTTTAACACTTTTTGGTACCGTACCTAATAACATTGTACTTAATAACAACCGGCACATGCTCGTAAAATGCATTTCTTTAAACGAAATACGCGTAATCCTTATTTTTTCATTTCGACTCAATCATTGTTTATACCAGTCTTACAATATCATAGCAAAGTCTATGGAGAGAAAATGTAAATGGGAAAAACGTAATGTTTTCACGAAGATCAGACTTTTTTATAAGCATGATCAACAATATAAACGATATTTGAAAAAATCATGAATATTCCCTCCAAATAATTTTTAAAAAATTATGTATTTGCTATAGAAGTCAAATCTCTGATAATTGTAATGGAATGCGTATAAGGAGTCAGGCGGCAGGTGGCAGGATGGCCAGAGGGGCTCAAAGGAATTTGAGCCTGTTGAGATGGGGAAACGGAAATGAATCTGTCTATAATGGAGGTATATTGTATTTAGCATGATGTTACCAGTTACATTTAACATAATTACGATTAAAATGATTATTGTGTATTGCATGTGTATGTGTAATGTATGTAATTACAAGGAAACTCTATAAAACAAAAGAAAAGAAATGAAATCTTAAGGAGATTTAAGAAAACCAGAAACTATGGCACACTTTTGCCATTTAATTGTAGTCAATTCTTCAAATGCATTAGAGGATAAGTGTAAAGACGAAGGATGATGAACAGGACGATGATATATGGACACTATTTTCTAAACATATTACAACAATAATTTATGAATTTGTTGGTAATTTTATACATATATATACACAGTTATTGTACTTTTGTTAGCTAGCAAAACGACAACGACAACTTAGGTAGCGCTGAGGTAGATAAACTTTATGAATGTTGTACCCAAAGCCCACGCCCCGGACACCAGCGAGAGCACTCTGTACAGTCACCGAGCTAGAGCCCAGCCTCAAGGCACGACGACAGCAGCAGGAAGGAGCAGGACCTGTGTCGTGTCCCCTACCAAGTTAGTTAGGTCCGCGTCCCTCAAATAAACTCTCCTTACAAAAAAAAAAAAATCCAAACACACAAAAAACTCTTACACACTCACCTACTCTCACTTTATATAATTATAATCTTGTATCTGTTGGATTTGTTGTACTCTGCCATTTTTGGTGTGATATTCTATTGGTTGTGGCGGCTCTTTTTGGGCCGTTTTACACGTTGTTGCATTTCTACTAATCGCATTGAGCCACACTCTCAGCGGCCAACGCATGATCGAATAAGAAAACCAAAAACAAAAATACATACATAAAACATGCATATGTATATTAAAACTTATTCAATTTCCTGTTGTTGTTTTGGTTGTACTACACACATGCCTACATGGGTTCTTGAATTCGTTTTCACTAACTGTAACTGATTGCCAAACTTTGTTAACTATTTTAGTCCATACATACGTACACACATACTTTTAGGTTTAAGCACTTGTAATTTAATCGAACATGATTTGAGCAAACTTAATGAAAATTAACTAAAATTAAAAAAAAAACAAAATGAAAATAAAATGGTGGTCGTAACTAAAAAAAAAATTTTTAATTTTTTAAATTTGAAATAGAGGGGGCAGAAGACAGAAGACGAGAAGGTATTGATGATATGTAGATTCTCTTGGAAGTTTCAACTTCGTACTTACTTTTACTTTACTTTACTGTACTTTTCTTCTATCAATCAAATTGTGGCTGTGGGAGATTTTCGCCCTCTGCGGTGGCGGAAGGGGTCGGGGCTCCTTTTGAAAATATACTTGTAACAGTGTGAGCATACAGAAGTCTAGATGGAAATTGGGTGGCTCTAACTTTTATAGTCTCTGAGATACAAGCGCGGATAGACGGACTAACAGACAGACATGGCCATATACTTTATGGAGTCGAAAACCCATAATATATCCTATTTACTCTCCGAGTACCGGGTATAATAATTCTGCAACATGTCAAACACACAGCTGAGCCATTTCTACATGCACGACACCTACATCTGATTTTGTGAAACTAGTGTAGAAAAGCTGGGAATTGGTTATTTAAATAAGTCAAATAAACTTTTTTCTTTCATCACGCATTTATAAGGAAAATACCGTGCTTTTGTCTCTAGGAATGTAGATCTGAAGATTACTTCTTGTTTGCTGTTTTAATTGCTGTTAATAGCTTTACGTAGGTTCTTGGCATCTTTTTTATACCGAGAGCTTTTTTGATTAGAAGCCGTTTCACAAATTCTTGCAAGAAGCATTTCAAACATAAATAAAACGATTTCACAATTCTGAGCAACTTTATCTCTCCATGTGTTCTTGTTTTCTCTCTCCTCTCGCTCGCTTTTCTTACATCTCTCTCTAGCTCTCTTTTTTTTAAATCTCTCTCTCGCTCTCTTTTTTTAAATCTCATTGTGGCTCTCTTTCTCTCTATCTGGCTCTTTTTCCAACAAAAACTAACATAACAAATCGGTGAATGGTAAATCGTTTGTTAATTTATTAATTCTTTGTTTTCGTTGCCATGCGACCATTTAATCGAACAAAAATCACAGTTATTTCGCTCTCGTGTAAAATCAGTGAGAGCAAGAGTGCGCACATGCGCAAGGTATAACTATAAGGGTACGCATTCCGCTTGCCTAAGCCTGCGCATGATAGCACATATTATATACGGTGGTCCCGTCGGACCACTACAAAAATTCTCGCTGCATAATCTGAAATAAATATCGGTATGTGCGCAGTCAAGGGTTAATATTTGTGTACACATTCACCCACACACAGCCTTTCCCTAAAACGATCGATCAGGCAGCCGACGGAACCTAACGGAACTGTAATATACATATGTAATTGCATCATGACTGGTGCCCGATTGTGAGTGAGTTGTCCCTTCCCCTTACTATACCTACCTTGCTAAACAAAATATATATAAATGGTCGCGCAGAGAGCAGATTTTTTTGTTTCTGCTCTCCCGTTTCGGTTTTCGCGTAAAATTATTGTTAACTTTACATATTTAATTAGTATAGCTTTAGAAGTGTTGACATATTGTCAATATTATTAGTGTGTCTGCCCGTGCAGTCGGACGGTTATAGTTTTTGCCTTGTACAAAGAAAAGTCGGGGCGCAGTTCATTGTTCATTGTTGGTGCGTTGTTGGCAGCTCTGCCAAAAGCAACAAACGGTAAAATTCTCACAGTCATTGCACTAACGGCACAAACCAAACTGACTGCAGCTGACCTCGACCTAGGCAATTTTCGCATACAAATTTTGTTGTTGCCGGCAAATTAGAATTGATTTTCGTAACCCGTTTCCGACTGCAGTAGACTGTGATCGCCGCCCTACTATAGTATATAGTACAGAGAGAGAGAGGGAGACAGGTGCTTGAATTCCCTTGTTCCCCTGTATTCTTTCGCTCCCTCAGCCGTAACGGTAAACGGCCCTGTGTAGAACAAATCAAGAATACGAATATTATGAACCGCACCAGAAGGAAAGTCGTCCGCCCAAAGAATCCCTACACCAAAGCGAACTGCTTTTCACAATGGACTTTCTGGTAAGTGTTTATCTATAACCATACTAGCGGCTTCATCGTGTTCACCCCCCCATCATTAGTCAGTCATGTGCACATTATTTACGGTTAATTTTTGTACTGTGACTGCCTGTGCGTATCCACATTAAGTGTGTTTAGCACGTGTTGTACCATATTGTAGTGACCAATATGCCGCCCCTGCTTATCTCTCCGCCTTCATCATAGTATAAATAACACAGTGAAGCCTTATCTGATGGCTAGACCCGACACTTTCTCTGCTAGAGGCCCATCTGATTGCTAACCCCAACATATTCGATTGAGATAAGAGCATAGAAGCAGAAGAAAATTAGCCACTAAATTTAATGAGAATTAGAACTAACATCCATTAAATTGGAAACGACAATTTTATTAAATGCCATTGTTGGACACCAAGGTTACATTGCTATCTGGCCGCAATATTGTACATATGTGTATGTATGTACAACATAGTATGTATGAACACTGTACGCTTGCAAATTAAAGGCAGCTGTGGCAGCGATTTGTTGATATTTCAATGTAAGCTGATAACAAACTTTAAATGTTTTCATTACGAATAGCTAGTACAGCCCACAGCCTCTCAGCAGACACGATAGACCAGTCGTGTACTGAATTGAGCTGAATTGTATTTCATTAATAAAGACTCTTAACGATCCCACAGTGAAGCCTCGCATTGGTCAACCCGGCTCATGATGGAAATGATTTCTTCAAATTATATTTCCACCCTGAAAGTCTCCACTGAATTGAAAAACATATTGCACATATTGTATTGTTAATCAAACAATGTACATACATAAGGGATTTCTTCGTAGCCAACCATCACGAGAATGCTTTTTTCCCCCCTTCAATAGCTACTCTGCTCTAAAGACGTATATTTTTATCACATTGTGTTGCCAAGGAAGGTCATTGCATACCAACTTGAAGCCGGAGACTCCGTTTAGTATTTCCCAAAGTTATCTTAGAAAAGCCCCCCACTTAGCGACTATCACATGGCATTAATGAAGGGGCTTCGGGAACTCTATTAAAGCATCATCATACAATAATTAACAGATAGCCACTGTTATAGTAATAAAATTGTAATCTCTGCGCACATTTTCAGGTGGATGCGGGATCTGTTCAAGCGAGGCCTGCAGGGTCCACTCACGGACGAGGAACTGTACCAGCACAGAAAGACGCTGGACAGCGAGCGGGTGACCAACAAGTTCAGCGAGTTGTGGGCGGACGAGAAGAAGCGGAGCAATCCCAGTGTGGTGCGCATGATACTGCGTGCATATGGAATGCTATTCATTCCCTTGGGCCTGGCCTTCTCGGTCGCTGAGTCGTGCTGCAAGTAGGTAGCAATCACCCTCCAGCGGATTAGCTAATTCTCCAAATTCCCAAAAATTTCTTGCAGATCGCTTATGCCCCTGTTTCTTGGTGGGCTGGTGGGCTACTTTGCCACGAATCAAACCACGGTCACCAAAGAGACGGCGTATATGTACGCGCTGGGAATTGTGATTTGCATGCTGGTACCTGTGATAACATTCCATCCCTTCATATTCTACATCTTCCAAGTGGGAACAAAGCTGCGGCTCGCTCTCTCCGGTCTCATCTATCGGAAGTGCCTGCAGGTTTCAAAGAGCAGCAGCAACGATGGACTGCGCGCCAGGGCCATCAACATTCTGTCCAATGATTTGGGGCGCTTCGATGTGGCTCTGTGCTTCCTGCACGATACGTGGAAGGGGCCACTGGAATCGCTGCTGATTGGCTACCTCATGTACCGCGAGATTGGTCTGTCCGCTGTGATAGGCGTGTCCTTCATGCTCAGCTTTATTCCACTACAGGCGTGGGCGGCCAAGAAAGCAGCCTATTACCGACAGATGACTGCCGAGAGGACAGATATGCGCGTGAAGCTGATGAACGAGATCATCCAGGGCATACAGGTGATCAAGATGTATGCCTGGGAAAGAAGTTTTGCCCGCGTGGTGGCTGAGGTACGCCTAAAGGAAGTGAAAGCCATTCGGGGCACCGCCTACATCCATGCGGCGCTTGGATGCACCTCCATGATATCACCACTATCTGTGTTCCTAGCCCTGTGCTCATATGTCTACTTCGGAGATGCGTTAACTGCTCAAAAGGTTTACACCGTGTCATCCTACTTCAACATGTTAAATGACTCGATGGTCCACTTCTGGCCGTTATCTATCACCTTCATTGCGGAGGCCTTGGTTTCGGCACGACGCTGCAAGGAATTCCTGCTGGACGGGGATAGAGCCGAGGTGCCCATCAACCTGGAGGCCAATCAGCAACAGACAAAGACCAAGCGAACGCTCACCAAGACGGACATCCAACAAAATGTGGAGCTGAACGGCTCGCTTCTGTCCAATGGTCTACCGCAGCATAGCCGCCTCAGGGATTACAATCCGGAAGCGTCAAAGAAATGCGTGATCCTAAAGAATGTGTCAGCTTCATGGGATACTAGCGATGGACAACCAAGTTGCGCCATCGAGAAC